GAATCTATAACCACTAATTAATTTTTTAAGAATCATTTGAATCATCTTGGAACTCCACAAAATCAGATAAAACATTCTGAAATTATGGTTTTAGACCTGCAATTGTGATCGCGCCAAACTTTTTTTTCTGTAGATCAAAAATTAATTTGCAGTTCGGAAATGTTCTGTAGGAGAGCGTGTAATGGGCACCGTACTCTTTTGCTCTTTCAAACCAGAAACGAAATTTTTTTTTGCAGAGTTTATTGACAAGGAGCACTGTCAGCTCGCAGCTTACGAAACAATGCCATTCTGGACGACTCAAGTAAAATAGATTCTCATCTATTATCATATTCACGTTCTAATCGTTTCAGGATACCCGGAATTCTGTCATCTCTTCACTTATCCCAGCTGGAGCTGCAGTGGCCGCGTTTGTCTCATTCGCAAAAGACCAACAAGTTGCTGACTGGTGGGGCGTAAGACTTCGCTTCTCAATGTTTTAATATGCCTCTTTTTGTTTTCAGTCTCTGAAGAAGCCCAACTGGGCTCCAAAAGACGTTCGAATCTACTCGGCGGTTGATTTACTCACGCTCTCCCCATTGGGATACGCGTCGTACCTCGTTTACAAGAATGGTGGCGGCTTCGACTACAACGATACTAAATTGGCTCTTGGTTTGTACGGAGCTAGCGTTACTTTGGCGATCGCCACCATTCCAATTGTGAAGAAGAGAGAATTGGGATGCTTGTGGAAGAACACCGCTGTTGTCAGCTTGACTGCCACTGGAGCTGCCTACGCATTCTACAAGGTATGAAAGATCTCCAGACTTCAATACGTAATTTTTATTTTAAGATTGACAAGAAGGCTGGCTTCCTCCTTGTGCCATTCGCTCTATGGACCGCATTCTATGCCTACCTCGCTTATTCCATCAAGAAGGAGAACGACCCAATCAAGAACCTATAACCGAATAGCTCGGTATTCTTAAAATCTCGAGTTTAGAATCTTCTAAATGCGTAATTACTTCTGCCCCCATCTCCTCCCATTCACTCCCCTATTATTGTCTAAATGAAAGTTTTGTAAATAAAATGCGCTTACAAAGAATATCCTTTAAACAGCAGAAAAATATGCTGGTCCTTATTTGAATTTGATGCTGTTTATCAAAAGGACTTAATTTTCGTGGTTTGTTCCAGTGTCTCGCACACAGAAAAACTTTGTTATCTTTTCTTACATTTTGTTCTTACAAGCACGAAGAAAAGTTGAAAAACTGAAACAAACCAAAAGAAAATGCTTAAATCTGATTCCTCACGAACTTTTTTTCGAATGACAGAAAAAAAAGCACGATGAAGACGGCATAACATGATTATCACAATAAAACAAATTCCAAATTGAAATGTTCTCATTATCCTGAGAAAAAGAAAGACTGCCTTTCAAAATCTAATCCTTCTCAGCTGTGCTCTCCGCTCCGGATTTTTGTTTCATTGCTTTTTTCTGAATACTCTTCTCCAACTTTTGTTCCTTCCCGATTCGTAATGTCTCCAAAATCGAGGTTAATGAGGGGTGGAGCAGGGATCGCAACCCCCGCGCGCACTTTTCGCAGTGTTGCCGCACATTCCTCACAGTTCAAAGAAATATTTTCGCAACTGCTGAAACTTTGGCTTTCGAAAATTTTCAGCGCTGTTGCCAATCATGACCAATGTGTGGTCAGCAAAAGTAAGGGTAAATTAGTATGTATTTCACAATAAAACTGTATTCAGAACGGAATGGATGTTGACGACGTCTGGGACGACACAGAGCTTATCAAAATGTATGATCAATCCATACAAGAAGTTTATGTAAGTTCGTTTGACCTTATGGATTAGGGTTATCTATTATGTTTTCAGAGTCAGAAATCTGGAGTGACAGAAAGACAATTCAAAGGAGAAGACGGAAAAACCTACACAGTAAGTTCTTCCTCTTTTCAAATAAAATATCCTATCGTTTAATGTATAATTTGAATTAAATAATTTCAGTGGAAAGTTGGAGGTCACTGCATGGCTCCTTTCGAAGATGAGTACTTTCCTGCAACTATTGATTCAATTGGTGGTAAGAATAACCTCCAAGTTCAAGTAACGTTTTTCTACTATGGAAACCAAGAGAATGTCCACATGAAGGATCTTTGGATGAACGAGGAAGCCATTTCTAAAGCAGTAGCTTTGGAACAGCAAAAAGAATCAGAGAAGAAATCCTCAAAAGCTTGTATGATTCTTATCTATTTTCGTTTCCATGTGTTTAATAGTTTCAGGCTCCTCCCACACATCATCCAATCATCTGTCATCCGCCCCACTTCCCAATTTTGCCCCTCCGGTTCCTCCCAACATCATCGCGATGGCACCTGCTAATCAGCAAGAGGCTTTGAGCAGCATGCTGATGAGTTGGTATATGAGTGGATACCACACCGGCTACTATCAAGCGCTATCGGACAACGCTCACAAACATTGATTATTTTGTAATTTTATTCTCACTTCTCAAAAAATTCTTCGGGTGCCGATGAACAACTTTTTTTATTCAAAACTGTGTACAGAAAAATTTTTATTGATGCAGCAGTTGGCTGAAATATTGTTCCTAGTCTCCCATATAAATCAGCGAAGTGATTATACGAACAGAGTTAAAGTTAGAAAAAAAAAAAAAAAAACATTTAAAAATCAGACCGATTGACAAATTAGAAAGCATTATATTTAGACAAGGAAAAAACTATATGAGGAGATCCAGAATACCGTCGAAATAAACCACCAATGATAACAGATAACAAAATAGGCTAGAATAGCATAAATGTGTAATGAACAATTAGGCCAACAGCAGGAAACTACGATTTAGTGAGCAAGTGCAGTGTCAACGAACCCACGTTCAGGAGCACGATCTCCAGTTTCCTCAGATTGATTTGACGACGGCGAGAACTGTTGAGCAATAAGAATGAGTGGCTGAAACAGATTTAGCATTGAAAGCACATTGAAAGCACGGCCAAACTCACATTGTCGCTGTTGTTGGGTGCAAGTCTGAGATCAAACAGTGTCTTCGTGTTGTTGCTGACGTCGAACTGCTCTCCGCCGACTGTCCGATACAGAAGTTGATCATTGGGTAGCTGATGTGTCTTGTCGTACAATTGAACCTTTAACTCCAATAGCTTGTTTGACGAAGACAATTTGATCGCGTAGACGTTCTTGGAACGACCTCTTCTTGATTTTCCGTTCGATTTAGACACATCTTCCTCATCGTTTGGATTGATTAGTTTCACATAAATATTCTCGTTTTCAAACATGTACTTTTGCTCTTCAGTAAACTTTATGTGCTGCTCATGACAAGGTTCACACAAGTCTACAATTCGTCCATTTTCTATTCTTACTGGCTTCGGTTCGACTGGAATTGCTTGACCGTCGCCAGTGATTTCCAGATTGCGAATTTCGTTAACAATCGTTTCCCATTCATCGCTCGTGAGTCCGACAATATGAGCATCTTTCTGATTATCCTGCAAAAGTGATGTTACTTCTATCGTTGAGAGCTACTGTACCTCGTTCGCAAAACCCTTGTAAGGTTTGGAATGTCTATTACACATAAGACATTCTTGGCAGATCGTTGGAGGGTTTGTCGATTGACGATTCGTCAACTTTTTCAATTTATCAATGAATGTGCTGCATATACCGTACTCCACTCCTTCATCATTTTTCTCCTCGCCTCTTGCTTCAATATTCTTCAGTGTGTCGTTGATTCTTTTCCGCATCTCTCTAACTGCTACACGCATATTGTCAGATCCAGTTTGGGCCTCCGCCTCCTGTTGTCGGCACAAATCGCACACAGCCGTGGAGCATTTCACCTCATAGCACTTGTCGAAGTAACGTTTGAGTTGTGCCCACTCTTCAGCTGATACAGAATGTCTGAATTGACTAAAGTTCACTCCACCATGAGAACAGCGAAGTTCCGAATTGAATTCGATGTTCTCTGGATGTTTCACGCCTTCTGAATCAACTGGTTTCGTCAGATCATTTTGCTCAGATGTGGTAGGCTCAATTCCACTCATATTGTCATCATCTTCAAACTCATTTGGCATTTGTTCAACCAGACCTTCTTCATCCAATTTCTGCATTTTTGCGGGTGTTTCCGGTGCAAATTTGCTTGCCTGTCCTTTTCGTGCTCGTTTCAGGTTGGATACTGTTTGATAATTTGCATCTTTCTTCTGCTGAAACACTCAACGTTTAAATTACTCAAAGTTCTTTCCCGGCGGAATTTTTTTATAAAGCCTTCATACAAAACACACACACTAAAACTAGAAATGCAGAACAAGGTGATTACTAACCGTTTCCAGCGAGTCGTAATAGAGAATTCCTTTTTTAGTATGCAATCCAGCTAATCTGTTTTCTCGAACAGCGATCGCCGATTTCTTGAAGTTTGATAGAGCGAACTTCGCGACGTAAATATTTCCTTCTGGACGCTTGGCAGCACACTTCACAGAGCATCTTTGCTTTTCTTCTTTCAGGATTTTTCGAACCATTCTGTCGTCGTCTTCTAGCTGATTGTTGAAAACGCCTTCATCACGCATCTCTCTGATACACTCCATGCAGATATCCTCTCTGAAAAGAAACGAAAAATTCTCGATTGCCGAAATTGTCAAACATACGCTGTGAATACTTGAATATCTTTATCTGTATTAGGATAAACCTTGTCTCCGTTTTCGTATTCATGTTTTGTTCGAAAATCGTACTCTTTGAGCAGAGATATCGCTGGTCCTCTAGCGACTGCCTTCACATCTCCATAAAGAATCGAGTCGATTGACAGTTTCCCATGACCACAAACAGCAATTTCATGAGTGCTGAGAAGTGCAGCGACTCGACTGGAGAGTGGCTGCTTCTGTGGACTATGTCCTGGTGTCCCGACTGTACTCTTCCGTGGGGATCGACTATTGAACACATATTTCACATCACCGTTTTGTGGACGGGTTCGTTTTTTTTGCTCCTGAGATGGTGCATCAACAGTAGGAAGTGCAGATTCTTCCATAGCAATTGCTAGAATATCTATCTCTTTGGTGGGCGTATTACTTGGGGACTCGACCAAGTCCTCAGTTTCCACAGCGGGGTCAACCACATCCTGTTCTTCGTATGGTGTTTCCCTATCATCTCCTAACTCGTCGTTATCTTCAGTTTCCATAGCTTCTGAAGCAGCCGAAGTAGAAGCTTGACCAGTCAGGAGAGCCAATTGATCAGCCTCTGAAGCTGCGATGGCTGCGGCGAGATCTTCTTCCTCTGTGTTCTTCTTTTCTTCTACATTCTCTGGCTCTTTTTTATCTTTCTTCTTCTCACCCTTCGCAACTACATATTCTTGTGCAAGAATATCATAAAGCATGGAAACCGGCAGCAAAACTATGTCTGAAGCCGAACCATACTTGTCTACATGGGTTTCTAACTTTGAAAAAGTGGTCCTGAGTTTATGAATCCGCCTTTCTAAATCATACAACCTCTTTTCGCTCTTTTCTATCTTTTTCTTTGTCAGTCCTTCGAAATGCTCTTCAATATCAGCTTTAGATGCTGCAATATACTCCTCTGGAGGAAGAATTGGATGAGGCAACGGTAGAATAGCGTCACGACGGCGATACAATAGACCGTAGCATGCTTTCTGATCTGTCGGATACTTTTCTTTTTCCTTCTTCCGGGATTTTTCGTTCTTTGCGGTGGTTGGTTTGTCTGTTCCCGGAGCTTTAGCTATCGCTTCAACAGTCTAAAAAATCATCAACGAATAAACATTCATTTTTACAATATTGAAAAGGTACCTCGTCGTTATATCGATACCATTTTTGGCTGTATGGTGATTTGATCAAATCGTAGTAATGACCGCATTCTGCATTGTTTCCTTCGTGAATCGTGACAGCAAAAAGATCGTAGAACTCTGCTGGTGGTGGATTCGACTGATCGATTCTTTGGAAAGCTCTTGCTGGAATTTCTCTCGGATAAGCAATTGGAGTCTTCAGCTTTTGACGGCCCTTCGCTGTGTATTTGTATCGATTCAACTGAATAACAACGACAGGTGGTAGTTTAACATAGTCTGACTGCTTGGTAGTGCCTCCTGTCTTGTTACATTTCGAGCATTTGTAATCGTCAAGTCTCAAAGATAATGAGATAATATTTTTTGCTGAAAACGTCAGGACTCACTGTTCTTCTCCAAAATGTGCATCCAGAGCGTCCAAGAGAGTTGAACGGTTTTCAATATTGAGAAGCAACGAGATTGCCGTTTCACCTCTTTCAGACTTTTGACCACATTTGCAAACGATTCGAGTACAAATTTCACCAGTGAAGATTTCGCCTAATCTTCTCATGGACTCTTGACCATTTGGATGGTCCGGTAAACACCGTTCGAGAGCATTGAAAAACTTCAAGCCAAATTCCTGAGAATCCTGCTGCTCAGTGTTCAGCCGCAATAGTTTCCCGAGACCAGAAGTCTTATCAGCATCATTCTAGAAAAACGTTAAAAGGAAGGTGAAAATTGTACGTATTTTCTTACAAATGGGGTGGTCTGCAGTGTGTAAAAGATGTCCTGAAGAGCCAACATCGTAGCCTGCACATCCATTCGTGGGGCTGGAGGTCTGAAAGAAAAGGTATCTTTCTCTGGCTACCGAAAGATTTACATACGGTTCGAAGTCAGGAGAAGTTCTGAAATCATAGACAAGCTGACGGAATTCGGGAACGTTGAACCAGACTTGAAGGAAGCTGTTAACATAACAGAAGTTTCCACCATTAATCAATCCTGCTGGTTGCTCATTCAGATCTCGACGCTTTTGATCTTTTTTCGCCTCTTCTTTAGTTTCTTGCTCCAAAGCGATTAGCTTGTCAAATTTTTCAAGTCCCAGACGGGAGATGCAAAATGGATTATCACGACAGTTGCTCGGTCTAAAAACTCTTTCAGGTGGTTAGCAAATATGTAAACGGAAATAGCGCCCTACTTTGGATTGTGAGATGTTTCGTGAAGTTTACATCTTGTGCAGTCTAATTTTGCAACTTCCATCGCTTTTTGAAAAGTAACTTCATTTTCTTCAAGATCAATCAGAACATCAATCGCCTCTTTCCGAAATGCAAGCTTCCGTGTATTGGGTCGTTCCTTCGGTTTTTTCTCAACGTCTTTAGTCATTCTGAGGTTTCACACTTCTGAAAATTTTAAAAAGATTATAATAAACAGAGGGATTTCAAATACATATTCGAAAAGAAAATTTTAAAAAAAAACAGCGAAATGTTTTGTACATAATTTTGATTTTCTTAAAGAGAAAATTTTGAGGTGTACAGGACTATCAGAAACTCAGGCATTTTTCTGAAAGCGAGGAATTATGAGAACATTTTATTAGCTGATGAAAATGTTCTAAAAAGGGAGAATCTGATACGAGACCCAAAATAATGTCCAAACTAAACGAATATTGAGAAATTATGAAAATTTAAATTGAAATGCAAAAACTGTGCACTTTTGCGCTTTGAATCACTCCTTTGCTCGTGAAATCCGATGCAAAAACAGTTGCACACACCAAGCGGGATAAACTGCGGACAAAGAAAAATTTCAGAAATTTTCATTGTTTTTAATTTTTCTTGCTTTTCTTGCTAATGGGGTTATTCATGACATAAAAAATGTATTTTTTCGGAATTTTTAAACAGAAAAAATTAATGCATGCATGCGAAAAAATGTATTTCATGCATTTTTTCGTATTTTTTTGTATTGGGGTTATTCATGACATAAAAAAAGGTTTTTTTTTGGAATTTTTAAACACAAAAAATTAATGCATGCATGCGAAAAAATGTATTTCATGTATTTTTTCGTATTTTTTGTATTTAATAAACAAATCATGCATAACCCCATATTTAAAATACAAATCATGCATAACCCCATATTTAAAAAACAAATCATGCATAACCCCATAATAAAATGTGAGCTCACAGTCTAAATTCGATTTTTATGCTGCCTCGTTGTGCCATGCATTGACCAAACAAGGCTCAGCGCTCGCCTGTTGTATTTTGTCAACGAAAAATATAAACTCAAATACTGTCTTTACTCGCTATTCCACTGTCCTGCTTCGATCACTACATGTGTTAAAGAACTATTTCTACCTTCTGATTTCTGTTTTTTGTTTTTGTATGTATCATTCTGAAAAGCTAGTTCGTCTTCAGTCCAGTTCAATTACAATAATTGTTTTCAGATATAATGGGTAAACGTCTGAAGTCAAACGCCAGGAAAAGCGCAGTTAACAAACTTGTCAAGAAAACGGATAACAGAATGTAATTTTGTTTTCTAAATAACTACATACAAAGAGGCAACAATTTGCAGAAAAGAGGAACAACGAGTTGTCAGAACACCAAAAGAAGATGAACAAGCACTCAAATTGGTCCATGCGTACGGTTCATCTATTCGAAGCGTTTTAATAGTATAGAAAAATTCAGACCGAAAATCTCATCAGCCATGTTCATGAGGTACAACACACAGCTTGGACCGCCATTCCACGTCATTGTCGATACGAATTTTGTGAACTTCGCTGTTAAGAACAGAATCGACATGTTCCAAGGCTTGATGGACTGTTTGTATGCTAAAAGTTAGTTGTAAATCTGCGATCATTCTCTGCAAAACGGTTTTCAGCTTTTGTATACGCGACAGACTGTGTCCTGGCTGAGTTGGAGAAAGTGCGAAAGTTCAAAATTGCCTTGAAAGTTCTGAAAGATCCGCGAGTTCATAGACTGAAGTGTGAACATAAGGGAACGTATGCTGATGATTGCTTGGTTCAGAGAGTTACACAGGTTCGTAAATGAAAAAAAAACATTTATTATCCGTCTGGAATAATTCTAACAATAAATCTCTAAATGACGAGAAAAGGCGGGAATGTTGTATTGCTGCAGTTTTGAACTTGGCAAACTTGAACAAAGAAAGTATCTGAAATAAAATCAATTTCAGCACAAATGCTACATCGTCGCCACTTGTGATCGTGACTTGAAACGTCGCATTCGCAAAATTCCCGGAGTACCGATCATGTACATCGTCAATCATCGATTCTCCATTGAACGAATGCCAGACGCCTATGGAGCGCCCATGAACTAACCACTTCAAAAGCTTCATGCGTACAATCCCAGTCGATACACCTTGGTGGCAAGAAACGAATGTAGAATAAACACGACTGGCTTCGCCGAATTCAGCAAATCCAATTCCTGAATGAACTTCTTTTCTGGCTTCAACTTTTTATTGTTAAACTTTTTTGTTCCCTTGTTACCATTGTTTTCCTTTGAAAATTAAAAATGAAATTACCTGTTCACCATGTGGTGGTCCAAAATCAACCCAGAGAAAGCGACCCCCATCGTCGCCAGTGGCACGAATCGTTTCAAACGAATGTTGCCACAGTACCTGAAAAATAAATTTACATTGGTTCTGTACATGTCGCTAACCTCTCCAGAAGATGATAAAAGTGATATACCATTATCCAAGTTAACAATTAGTTCACATGATTCTCCTCTCCATAGGCACGGTGCAGAAACTTGTGAAGTTGCAAGGCAAGCTTCATATCCTCCAATAACTACTGCTCGAACCCATCTCGCTAATTCAGCATGGGTTTCAACACGAATCGTATGGGTTCTGACTCCTTGTTGAGTTCCCGTTCTCATCCTGAATGAGATCACATCTGTGAGACCTTTGATAACTGGGGCACTTCGAGAACTGGTCTGTACTACTCTCGTGGCTACGAGAGGCCTAACTAATCGAGGCTCTGCCCATTCCGCTTTCAATTGTGGAACGGCTTCATAAAACAGAATCTCGCTGTTGGTTAGTGTCATAAATTTGGGTTTCCACATTGAAATTCCATTTTCTGATACTTGCTCTGCGATCCAACCCATGTGCCTCACTTGTGGATTGTTTCCGAGCATAATGTTCACTTGAGCCAGAGCTTGTGTCAGAAGACATGTCGTACATGCGTGAAGAGCTTCGAACCATCCATCAGCTTCTTCACTACTAGAGCATCTCATCGCTAAAGAGTATCTTCCTGATGGACTTCTCATTTCCAAAATTCTTCCTTCAGCATCGGCATCGATTCCAGCTCTTGCTACATACGCCAGTTTAAGACCTATCGTTCGAACTCTTTCTCGGATATCATCATCCCATTCCACGTTTTCAACTATATTCTCTCGATGCATCATATCCTCTCTTCGATACTGTACTTGGAGATCAACCACACGTCCTGCTCGTTTCAAAGCTCTGACTGCTTCTTCATGTGATGCATCTAGTAGGCTCTCTCCGTTGACTGAAATTATAACATCGTCCAAAAACAGTTCTCCAGTTTGATCCGCTGCCATTCCTTTGAAAATTTTGCTGAATAGAGATAGTGACGTAAGATGATGAAACTGGAATCTTTATCTACCTGATTACTATTGGCATGTTGTTATCTCGTCCGCCTTTAATTGAAATTCCCAACCCATTTCCATCATATTTCACGACTCGAACCGTTCTCTTCTCCGCTTCCACTTCATTTTGTTCCATTGTCTGAAAATTCGTGTTTTTTGATGACCACTCTTTCATCTTCCGAGCTTAAACCTATTATTCTTCCGAGCTTAAACCTATTATTCGTGTTTTTTGATGACCACTCTTTCATCTTCCGAGCTTAAACCTATACCTTGGCCTTTTCACATCCCTAACCATATGGGTTTACATAAATCACTCTCCCTCCCACACATCCAGCTTCAATTTCGAAACAATTCCAAACATCACTGGATAATGAAATTTATCTATGTCTAAACAAAATTTGAAAGAATACACCAAACGTCTAAAAATGACGAGTGAAATAGAAGATGTTGTGTCATCTTTGTGACGACTTCTTTTTTTTTCGAATTTTGACACTTTGCTTGTTTATGTCACAGCCCCATTGAAGTTTCTTTTGTTCTTTTTTGTAAGGAGTCATTGCTTTTCACAACGTCTTCATTACTTTTTTTTCTAGGAAAAAAATTAAGTAGCTTCGTTTCGTTTTATGTTTTTCCTGGGTTCTTTCGGAGAATGAGTAATAGTTTTGGCAAATAGTGTCAGTTCCTACACCTCTCTTCTCTTGAAAAATGAGCCGAAATTGGAAATTTGAGCTTCTATTTTTTTAGAGCGTCGGGAAGACGTTGGAGAGTGTCGAAGACTAGTTACACCAATTATTGGAAGAAATCGAAAAGATTGGAACCTCTTTCAGGAATCTATTTCTTGTTCAAAACTTTTAAAAGAAAGATTAAATACCTGCAATGTGATTGCAGTTGGATCGAGTGTTGCCAGAACACGATGCCATTGTCCTTGCACAAAAATGTCGACAAGGCCGGATCGAACGGCGGCCATCGGAATGACGCCGATTCAGTCGGAACACTGTGAATCAATTGTATTCGTTCCCTGAATTAATGAATTAATTTTTGTCTTCGAAATCAAAGAATTGTAACATTCAAATAGTAGAAAAATAGAAGAAGTGAAAAAAAAAACTGAAGAAGAAGAAGAGGAAGAGAAGAAGAAACAGAGAAAATAAGAAGAGAGGGGGCAATAATAGAATATTTGGGCTGTGGGAGCAGCAGCAGCAAGCACTAGGCGGTCCTCCTCTCTTCTATTTCCCCTCGTTTTTCTCTTTCTCTCCACTCGGCTCTCCGTCGGAAGGAGCCGGAGAGCCCGTGAGACACGGCTCGAGCCGTCCTCTCTGAACCGATGCACTCTCTCATCGAATCTGTCGCGCACTCCAGTGTCTCTAGCGCTTTTCTCTGTTTTACCCTGTTCCCTCCCAGCTTCACTGGTGAATGATGGCGTGGGGGTGGGTTTCGAATTTAAATATAGCGGTTATGATTCTCATTGTTGGGCGAATTGGCTTCTCGCCAAGCGTGAAAGAGGAGGAACACACTTACACATAACACAATGCGACTATGAACATTCGGTTGTATTATGATAACAATAAGAAGAAGAAGAAAAAGAGAGTTGATCCTCTCTCATTCCTCTTTTCTTTCTTTTTCTCCTGTGATTTTGGTACCATCTTAAAATGAGGAGTACTGTTTCCAGTTCTGTACCGAGGCTCCCTTTTCGTCAGAATCTTTCTTCATGACAACTTATATAGAGCTAAATTTTTTTTTGCAAATTGCGAAATTCTTTTTATGTTTCATGATCTGCTACTCGGCATTTCTTATTAGACACTCGGTTATATCAGATTTTATCTTCCGTATGTCAGATTTCATATTACTCATGTCTCCAAATTTTTTTTGAAATTGGAAACCTAGTTATTAGGTTTTCGCAAAAATCTTATCAGCTGATCGACACCTCCAATCTTCTAGTTTTGAAAAAAGTTCAAAACTCATTCCCTTGAATTTTCTCATCCCATCACACCCGTTTTTTCTCATTTCTTTTGTTCTCAATGGGCTCAGGTCGGGTTCAGCAAGGTGCCGTCAGGTGTCACATTCTCTTCACCTCAAGACTTGGTTCATTTTAACGTTTTCCTCCGTTCTTCCAAAAAACATCACCCGATTTTCAAAGATCTATGGTCATTAGGTTCGCAGCGAGTCTAGTTTGTGGCGAGTAAACCGATTTACAACTTTTGGTTTCTGATTGGTTTTCGATAATTGGATCATTTTCCGACTAAAAAGTTCTAGTTCTGGTTTTCAGAAGTATTATTGAAAAGTAGGCAATTTAAATATTATGACACCCGATTCGAAAAATGTTCGATATGATGTGAATTTTTTTGAGCCCAATGTTTCTTGATTCTCAAAAAGATGCAAAGATTAGTTGATATTTAAGATGAATTACTTTAAGATTACTGTAGTTTTTGAAGTAATGAAAAAGTCTTCTTGAAAAATTTATCTCCAGTTTTCCTTTTTATGAATTTAATTGTATGATCTCTGCTACTGATGTCTTAGATTCCATGTGATCCACATAGCCCTCAATTTGAAACCGCCCCTTCACCGGTCCTTTTTCGCTTTTTTTTCGTCTCGCTTAAATACAAATTTTGTTGTTCTCTATTCGAAAAATTTTCCACTCCAAAATCATCATATGAATCATAGCTTTTAATAATTAAACTGTTTGGGGTAAACAACCGGAAAGTGCAAACTGCAAAAGATTAAAATTTTGATGCCACTTGCTCTTCCATGCAATTCCCCCTGGAGGGGTGCATCACGAGTAACAAAAAAAAAGTGTGCGAGTCCTTGGAACGCACTTCCTTATCGAATTTCTTCTCCAGCCAACCCTCACTTTTTTCCATTTCTTCCCGATCCTCCGTGAATCTCAATTTTTCATTCGTTTTCCCTTTTCATCTCACTTATCCTATTCAACCCCACGAGTCTAGTATTCCTGTGCCGCGTGCAAATGATTTCCGAACATCTTCTATTCCTTCTTTTTCCTTTTTTTCTCTGGATATAACTACCATGCTTGTTTGCTTCTTATTTTGAAAAGAAAAACAAAATAACATAGAATCTTTTCCCGACATCTTCTTCTATTTTTTTGTTAACAGCCGCCGCAACAAAAACAACGTCTGTGTGCGCGAGAAGGTCCATACTTCCAAGAGCTGTCAATCTTTCGAGCTTTCGAGCTCTTGCTTTGTATCTTCCTCAAACCGACAAAAATAGGATTAGTCTTCATGACGTGGCAAAAATATAGGAAAAGACACCGGTAATGTGTGTGTTTTTCATGCCGTTCCATTGCTTTCCGCCTCGCGCCGAAACCGCCAATTGGGGTGGAATTAGTGGGAGATGGACGAGAGACAGAGAGAAAGTTAGTTCATTTGTTTTTGAGTGACAGATTAACGATTAGTCAGACAATTCGTCTCCCAACTACTTTTTTTTCTCGAATCTATCAACAGGTGTTATCTTGGTTCTACGGAATTGCAACCTTTTAACTTATTGTTTACTGTGGCTTCTGACCTTTCTCAAGTAATTTAGTTAATGGGGTTATTC